TTGGGCTACTTCACTAGAAGATGATACATTATACCTAATTTAATATCATAATCATTATTTTATCTAATTTTGCACAAAAAAGAAATCGACAGTTATATAATACCTAAAAATGCTGACAAAGCAAAGGAAAAAGTAAATAACATGAATTTTGTTTTAAATTATATGATACTAGGGCGGTACCCTTCTATAACTGACTAACGACGAACCAACCCCCATTTTACAAATTATACAACTTTTCATTTAATAGTACTACTCGTTGCTCAAATTGTATAACTTTAATTTATACGCAGTTCAAATTATATTATATTTTATCAACATAAAATAAACTGAACGAAATCACAAATCTGAGAAATTTTTATTTTTATTTAAAAATCTATATTATACATCGCATCTTATTGCCAATTTGTAACCATAATATATATTCACTAGCCTAACAATGATTTATTTAAGCCTTTAATTTATAATATTTTCATTGTACGTTATATTGTGCTTCCTTTTCTATTTCATAATAATTCTAATGTAATCAAAATATAATATATTGCATTCAAGGGTAAATATCTAGATCGAAAAATAACCGCTGTCAAAATCAAGCTTACATCTTCAGATGAATAAATAACATTTTACGTACAAATATTTAGTCTAAAATCTTTATTTTGTATTAGGAAAGTATTAGGAAGCAGGAGCTCAACACATATGTAATTAAATGAACAGCTGTTTAATTAGTGTTAATTATAAACCTAATAGGAGATCTCCTTTAACCTCCTACATTCTCAATACTAAAATAAAATAAAATATGACATCCACTAAAAACATTTTTATACAATAGAGAGATTTTTTCCTCTTCTCTAGTGTTGTCCAAATGCGAGACCGAGGTCTAGGTCTTGCGAACTCGATCTTGGTCTTGCGCAAGAGTCTCGCAACAGTCTTGCAGTTACTTATTAGCTTATTACTATAGAGATATTTCTGTAATTTTTTAGATAGGTGAAACCTAACTAAGCCCGAATGAAAAATAAGAAGAGTTAAATGCAAAAGTATATTGGTTAGAACCATTCTTTACATATTGTAACTAAGATTGTCAAGTATTAGTAACTATTTTGACTTAATTTTTATTTAAAAAATGTATTTTTTTTTTTACCAGTTCTGGTTTTAGTCTTGCAAAGTGAAAGATCAAGACCTATTTTGGGCAACAGTATTTTTCTCGTAGGGCCCGTTGGAACGCACATCAGAATATATATATATATATATATATATATATATATATATATATATATATATATATATTATATATATATATATATGAAATAAAAATATATTTCGATGTAGTATAATATAAGGTTGGCTAAAATCGATGACCCACTGATTTTAAGCTCCCGTCGTTAGTGTACCTCATTAACTGAATAGGATTTAAAATAAATAAAAACAAAAAATGACTCAACAACACAATGATTAAAGAAAAAATTAATTAACATCTCCATAGTACTTTTTTAGCTAAATATAAAACATTTAAGTTTTTCTTCTAGAAACATATAGAGAAAAAGAGCAAAACTAAAAGCCATCTTAATGCAGGAGGTATAGAGAAGATAGAGGATAGAGAGAGGAGTGCGTGAGGGGCTTTTAAGGCAGCTCTTAGCGAGACATATTTCTTTTGGTCTCCATTATAGAGCTGTCAGCTGATTAGTCCTTCATTATTTATTTATTGTTAATTGGTCTGTTAAGTATTAACAGCGATTTGAGAGACTTGAGGTAATTCTGTTTTTGTTTTTTAATTATCATACAATTTTAAGAGGCTTGGATAAACAATATTGCTTCCTCATTAAATAAGGTAGGGAAGCTTTGTAATCGTGCGGGAGATTAAATGAATATATAGTCAATTCAATATGACAGACATATTACTTATTACCGTTCTTTTCATGGATTTTTCAGATTGTAGAGATTACAAACTAAAGATAAGTACCTTAAAATTCCATCCCCTAAGTTCTCTTAATTTATAGGCAGGATTCTTTGATACGCCTATATCACAAAGTTAAAGTAAATTTGGAGTACAGTGTAAAAATGGTTAGTATCAATTTCATCAAAGCCTATTCAACGATATTGTAATTTTGTTTTCAGTTTTCAACAATGATTTTATTCCAAATTTCTGAATTTTCTCGCACCCATTTTCTCATTTAAATCTTCCATACGTATCTTGTTTGGCCATCTCCACTTCTTTCTATACTGTAGCTTCGATAGGAAAACTTTTTTTTTGCCATCTATTAATTCTATTAATTAAAATTATTGTACCAACAGCTAAAAGTAATAGGTAATTATATAATAGCTGTGAAATATGTAAAGTAGTGAACACATAGAAAGGGAGATTATATTTATCTTATAGTTAATTGAAGGTAATTTTCTTATATCTGAGCAGATTTGAATAGATATTATGGAATTTCGAGGGATTGTGAGTGCTGTTATTGTGAACTAGATGGTTTCATATATATTTCATCAAATTATTTCACCTTCTTAGGCGTATGTGAGGGTTTTTCCTTGATAGAATTATACTTTAACAAAGACTTCTGTAGATTTTATTTTCAAACGACAAAACATAGAGCTTGTAATATAGTTAATTATATAAATACCAAAAGAAAGTAGGTAAGAAAGCAAAAGTGACCCTATTGGGCAGACTGTTTTTTTTTTAAATAAGATAAAAAAAATGTATTTTGAAGAAAAAGAAACAATACGAATGAAATTTAATATGGAAAAGCATGGTTTGAAATCGGGAAAGCTTTACAAAAAATTCAAGCTATACATCAATTGAATTGAATTTTTACGATAAAAGTTCCTAAAATTGATTGGAATCATTTAATGGTTCTTTGAACGATTGGCTTTCTCAGAAATTCCATTAAATATAATACATTCCACAAAAGTAAAATTACATCGTTTGAACAAGTTTATATTTCAATTAGTTATAAGGTAATTGATTTCAACACCGATATAACTAATGAGAAACGGAATACAATAACTGATACAATTAAGGGTGAAATCATATTGTAAGTTAGTTTTGGTAATTGATTAGCTATTATCAAAACAATCGAAATCACGCTCACCAGGTCCGGACACAATATTTAGCTGAACCAATCGAATCAACCACAAAAATAAAAGTAATATGATTAACAAAAGTATAGAAGCCAGTTTGCCAAAATGCATTCAGAAAATAACTATATATATATATATATATATATATATATATATATATATATATATATATATATATGTGGAGGTATGGGAGCAAAATGTTATTAAAGTGAAAATTTCTTTAGGCGCGTTTTGTACTTTTTTTGAGGTGAGTGAGTTAGATTAAGCCGTCAGATCTCTGATGCGTAACGATGGGGTATAGCCAGCTGGGATCGACTAATTGAAGTGTTTTTGTATATCCATTAAAATATCTCAAAAACTAAACATCAGGCCTGCATATTGTCTGTGGGGGAAATGTTCAGAATTTCATCCTCTTTATAATGAGCTATTATTTAAAATCGTTTCTTAACGCGATGCGGTGTTAGAGAGGCGAAAACGGAAAAAAATCTTCGAAAATGATTTGGATTAAAATATCTCAGAAACTACAAAATCGAACTTGCATATTGTAAGCGAAGAAAATGTTCAGCATTTTTATAATGATCTATTATTTATAATTTATAATTCATATACTTAATACCCATTTCCTTTTCACTTCAATCGTATGACAATTTGAGCACAAAATTCAGAAAAAAAATTTGGCGTACAAAAATATTGAGCCTATACAACACCATTGTTTTGAAATGTTGGGGTTCAGGTCTAATATTTTTATAGTTTTCTTGATACCTTTTTTTTTGATTTCTGATCTCATTATCTTACGATTGAAGTGGAAAGCAAATGAATATTTGTGAGTTTTTAGAACATAATCAAATAGACAAAGCTTGCCGATCTCCAGATTGAAAACGCCCCAATTCGAAAATTTTGTAAATAAAATAGTTGTACATTACGACGAGATAAATCTATTTATGAAATTTCAGTTGCATGTTAATAATTTGATGAAAAGGAGTCTGTACCATGGACCATTTAATTTTTTTTATTACTTTTGAAATTTACAACTGTATTAAATAATAAATACAACTAGTAAATATAAAATAAGTAACATGACATGTACAACATGAAGAGAAACTACCCATTGGTAGCACTCCAATTATATTTCTATATTAGAAGGTCCCGAGGCCATCTTCTTTTCAGACGCATCGGAGGGTTATCAGGAATAGAAGAGGAAGCAAGGTTGGATACAAGAGGGTTCGGATGGTTCAGAAGTTTATTATGGAAAGATAGGTATCTGGATTGAGCTAAATCGAAAACATATGGTACATTAAGGTTATTATGGATGATTTTATTTGTGACAAAGTAGGGAGCATTAAGGATTTTACGAAGGATTTTGGATTGTAGGGATTGGATACGAGAGGAATTTGATGGTTTAACATTTTTTTTTTTTTTTTTTTTTTTTTTTGTCTACAAAATATGTATTTGCAATAAGTTGACAATCAGCAAATGTGATGGCGATAATGATGTAATGACATGACAGGCATGAGGAAGGAAAGTACTCAGCAGTACCTCTTCCCTAACTTGTTCCAATTACTTAGGTAATCTAAGGAAGGAGATCTCTCATCCAACGCCTTTTTAGTCTCCTCCTCATGTTCTGAGGTATGTCAGCTGTGGCCATGTCTCTTATAAGTATGTTATTATGTCCATTTAAATTTGTGTAAAATCGTTGATATAGAGTCGTTATATGTTGGTCAACTGTTGGAAAGTGGAGGTCAGTATGTAGAGTTTTGTTAGTCACGTACCAAGGTGCTTTTGTTATGAGTCGCAATAATTTTGATTACATCAGCATTAAAAGTAATAGCGAATGAAAAGCCATGAAAAAAGCTACAGGTAATAATAAAACATTTAAAATAATAACGTAATAAACTCATAAGAGTTAATGTTAAGGTTATATAGCATACCATGGACGTGTGCGCATGCACGACCGCCACATTGTGACCATAAAGCCATCCTGCTTTCTTCACGAACTAGGATCGTAAAGTTTACAAGTGGTACCACGGCCTGCTAAATCCCCATTAGGCCTTTTATTACCATGGAGATTATTAATTACGACTGAGAGCTTCTATCCGAGACTGTTTTTGTCGTGTTGACCTTAATCTCTAACCAGAAGCTGAGTAGTGTTAACGCAAACATCTCTTAGGTCTTTCTTCAAGCTTCATTTCTTCGACGCTTTTACGACAAGATTAGCATAAAATCGTCTCTGATCTCATGAATACACAATCTCTCTTGTAAAATACTTTCCTAGAAGCGACATAAATACATAAAATTAATTCAGTAGACGATTCGCTGTTAATGAGCTGAATTCCAAATTAGCATAATGAGTTTTCGGTAATCATGAAAAACGTTAATCGCAAATTAATGAATTTAGTCTACCTTCATCACTTCATCAATAACCTTCATCACTATATTTATGAAAATGCCATCTTCGGTTATGATATTTTTAACAATTATAAATCTATTCAATATTCAGTCACTAATTTAATGCATCAACTGCGCATGTGCCGCATTTTTTGAAATGAAAACGTCTGATGCAGAGTGAATTATATTGAGCCGTCAGATCTCCGATGTGTAACGCTCAGGTAAAGTCGAATGGATTCGACTAATTCAATTATTTTTGCAAATTGATTAAAACATCTAAAAAACTAACAATCGCACCGGCATACTAAAAGTGAGAGAAATGTTCAGCATTTCATCCTATTTATAATGAGCTATTATTTAAAATTGTATTTTAACGCGATGAGGTATTAGAGAGCGAAAATGGAAAAATATTATCGAAAACCAAATGATAACGAGTTTTATTGAAGATGGATTAAAATATTCAAAAATAAAAATCGGATCTGCATACTCTAAGCGAGAGAAATTTTTGAGCATTTTATCCTCTCTATAATGAGCTAATATTTATATTTTATATTATTAATCTCACTTTGTTTTCACTTCTATCGTGCTTAGAAAGAACACATCGCAGTTTTATTTAATAAAAAAATCTTATTGTTAATCATTACCAAACTAAAAAATCTGGTGTGTCCACTCACACGACTTTCCTACCTATTTCAGGAAAGTTTTTTATTTATATCTTTACATATGTTCATGAAGAATAAAAAAAAAAATTGAACTAGATTTACTTTCCTGAAAATTGATCTAAGAAAAGATTTGAGTACGATTTATTTGATAAACTAAAGCAATGTAAAACGGCTTAAAGTAGATCAGTATAAGAATTTCAATACTCTCTAATATTGCTGATCAAAAACTTGTTGCCAAAGCTTAGTACTGTAAAACAATAATTTCTGTTATTCAGACCAATGGCTAAAAATGTGTTTTTCGGACTCTGCGGGCTCTGAAACGTATAGATCCGTTGAAAACTGTATATCGGAAATTTGATCCGATCGCAATACTTTCCTTACCAAGTATAGGTAGGAAAGTAAAAAGGCTAGCTTTAGTTTCTCATTTCTAATTGTTTTTGACAGAGTATTTAAATCTAAAATTGTTATCAGAAAGATTATACATTCTCTCTCTCTCTCTCTCTCTCTCTCTCTCTCTCTCTCTCTCTCTCTCTCTCTCTCTCTCTCTCTCTCTCTCTCTCTCTATATATATATATATATATATATATATATATATATATATATATTTGGTCTTACTGCCGTATGTTGCTAGGGAAAAACCAGATAGTCTGGAGGGGGCAAAAAAATAAAATAAATATGGAAATTATTGTCTGCGACAAATAAAGTATATTTTGAAAAATTAAAGAATGAAGAATTTTTATCCAGGCATGGCTTGGAGACTGTACTCTGAATAACTGAGAGCACTAAAAAACAAAGATGTTGCTACGGTTTCGAAAATGGAAGCAATCATTTTTCCAACAGCACCTTTAATCTTCCAATACTACCTCTATTATTATTTCATGTTAACAAAATCGATAAATCATGAGATGATCCATATATACAATAAATATTTGTTCGCAGCACTAGATCACATGGCATTTGCATATCAGGGATCTGGTGATCGGGAGGAGAGATAGCGCGCAGCAGTATCCCGACGAGAGATATCTTCCAGGAGTCCCGAGGGAGGGCAGAGAGTGTACTGGAGAGAGCGATGCATATTCATCAAGGCCGGGAGTCGATTCCAGCTCGAGATTTATGGTCGATCCTCTATCGATTATTTACCGTTAGGCCAGGCTAGAAGATAAATATACAAACTGAAAGGTGTCGAAGCCTGGCGGTAGCCACTCTACATCAACGGTAAAAGCTCGTTTACAACCTGACGTTACACAATCACTAAACATAGGCACCGCCACCGGCAGAGGGGGGGGGTGAAAGGGAGGGGAGGCACTTTAAACGAGGGACGGGATATCGAAGGCCCAATATCGATATTAATATTGGCCTGTAACAATCGATACCATCAAAATATCGAACTTGAAATATAGATAATCGATATTATAAACGTTTTTGTAATATAAATAAGAGTATAAATATTGATTCTCTAGCAACTAGGCGCATCAAAAAAGATCTACGTCATCCTCAGTTTTTTCCAGAAATTTCTATTTAACCATTTATGCCTTCCATTCACCAATATATCGGATTCAGCGAAATGCCAATTTATTAGCATCCTACATAGATTTCTTTGACAATTGAGTTTACTCTACTTAGAGATGGCCATCGATAGACGATATTATCGAAATATCGATATTTTCTCCTGCTACGCATTATATTCTACAGGGAAGATTAGTATATATTTTAGATTAGACTATCACATTCATATACAATTCCTAGCACTTTCCGGAACATATAGTTTTAATTTTTATTTTTAAATTAAAATATCAAAGGGAGGACATCGACAGTCGATAGTATCGGAGTACGATGATAAAATATCGAATATCGGAAGGAAAATATCTATATTTCCATCCCTACTTCAGACACACTCAATATTTCATTCAATCGATGGAATAATGATGTAACCATAAATTATATAATTTTATAGAGAAGGAAATATAATTAGAATTGTAAATATATAAATCACAGAATTTTTAAAATTTATTGTTATGGTATAAAATTCTTAAATATATTCAAATTAAATCCTTTCCCATATTAAACATCTGTATCCTTTTCTCAATATATATATATATATATATATATATATATATATATATATATATATATATATATATAGAGAGAGAGAGAGAGAGAGAGAGAGGGGGGGGGGAGAACGAAAGCTAAAGAAAGAATTTTAGCTGTATTATACAGAGTAATTAATAAAATAAATATATATACAAATATAAATTATCACGAATCAACAAAATAATAAAAAACTAATAACAGAATTTTTTTTTGTATGAAAGTATGCTGAACAATTCCAAAGGTCTCTCTAGAAACAGATTTCTATCAGGCACCATTTCAGGTCATATTTGAGCTGTGGGTCAAAAAATGAAGCGTTTTTCGACATTTTGGGTATTTTTTTATCATTTAAAACTTCAACAAAAAAGAAAATTAAAACAGAGCTTGGTCTGTGTTTGAAAACGTGTGTCAACAATTTTAGAGGAACAAAAGAACTACAAATTACAAATACATTGTTAAAGAATTGCTTTTAACACGTGCTACTGTTGGACACTGCAACGAGAGGTAGCTGATGAACACTATACAAAGAAACAATATACACTATGATTGAGCATAAAGTTATATTATGTTTAGGATTAAATACTTTATGTATTATTATTATTGACAAGAAAATAAATAAATGAAGTAAGAAACAACATGCTATTTAAGGATTTTCTAAAAAAAAAAAAGATGTCTAGACTTAAGATTCGAACTCAGCGCACACATAAAAATATAATTAACAGGAAAAATTTCTTAGGGGAGCGAACAATTTTTTTTTTTTTTTAAATGTAATTTTCCTCATTTTTGAATTCTTCAAAATTAAGTTAGGGCAGAGAATAAAAAAAACTTTATAAAATTGTGGAATTTTTTTCCTGATGAACGTTCTTTTGAGATTTAAAATTGACGTTCTCCCATTCAATCTTTTTGTAACAGATTTTATAATAACAAATAGCTACTCTATATCTCTGTGCACGTATTCCGGAATCCCTAATTCTTTATCGTAGTAAATACAAATTGTCAAATATAAATAATAAAAATTCATTATCACCATATATACTAAAACTTCTGTCAAACCCTCTGGGAAATAGCTAATAGATCCTAATCATATTAAACTTTATACTGTTTCTTTCAAGACCACCAATACATGCTCAGTAAAAAAGGCGATCGATCTTTTGAGTCAGTCACTATTAACTTTCCCGCCATTTAATTACTTTATCTTTAACTATGTTCTGTTATACAGCAGGAGCGGACTTATATTCGAAATTTAGGCTACTTCATGTAATCTTAATCGAACTTATACATATATTATACAGCTGCGGAAAAAAATAGTAATAGATAAAAAACATTTAGTTATTATACCTCTCAATGGTATTTCACGATATTTTTCTTATTGATAATTTCCATTAATCATTATCATGAAATTATCAGATATTCTTCAGTCAGTTGTTTCCCAATAGGTTACTTCCTTCCTCAAAACTAAACTACCAAATAAACACGAAATTTTATTTTTATTACGATTGACTATAATAAATTCACATTTTCGGATTGCTAAGTAAAAGTAACTACGAATAACAATAATCACGCAGCTAATTCATTTAATAAAAATAATATTGATTAAAATGAGAAAACAAATTAGAAATTAACCTAACTCTATAGTCCAACTAAGTGGCAAATCTATGAGTACCGTTGGAATTGGGTATTATTTACACAAATATTTATCTAGATAACGATTAATAAATACATTTTATTCGTTATTCGTTGAAATTTTACACATGATTACTTGGTTATTAAGCAGCTACAGATATTCTGAATCATCTATTATCTATTAATAAGAGTAAGGAATAAAAAGATAATATATAACTT